GCAGCTGGCCGGCGGTCCCCCGCAGCAGTTCGCGCTCTCCAACTCGGCGGCCATCCGGGCCGAGATCCAGCGCTTCGAGTCCGTGCATCCCAATATCTACGCCATCTACGACCTGATCGAGCGCATCGAGGACTTGGCGCTGCAGAACCAGATCCGAGAGCACGTCATCTCCATCGAGGGTGAGCGGCCCTGGGGGCTGCGGGAGCCGGGCGCCGTGGGCCCGGCCTGGCCACGCTCTCCCCGTCAGGGTCCCTGCGCGGCCGCGGTCCGGGCCACGCGGCTTGCTGGCCGGCTGCGCAGCAGAGCGGTTGCGCAGGCTTCGCCATGTCTCGTCCAGGGACACATCGGCTGGAGGCTGGGACACGTTTTCCCCTCCGGGACGGGTGCGCTCGGAGCCGCAAAGGCTAGCCGGGGCTGGGGCCAGATCTCGGCAGGCCAGGCTGGGGAAGGTGGGCGCGGCGGAGGGGCCTCGGAGGGCTGGGAGGGGCGCTGCCGGAGAGGCGTCTGAGCAGCTGCTTGGCCTTTGCCCGGCACCGGGCAGGGGATTGGAGTCCGTTAGTGGACGGCCGCTTTCCTGGGCCCAGCTCCTGCGGGCCAGGAGGGTGGTGTCGCCGCACCGCGCCCTCTCCCGGCGCACACGCCCCCACGCCGCCGCGCTTAGCGGGCTGCGGTCCGGGTCTGGCACGGGCTTGGGCGCCGCAGCCGCGTGGGCGACCCACCCGTCGGTCGGCGTCTTCGCCTGGGTCCCGTCCGCGCCCGGCCCCCGCCGCTGCATTCCGTAGAATCGCTTGAGAGTGTGCCGGGGGCTTCCGGGCTCTGACTGACCTCCAGGGACACGGCGCCGAGGCGCCGGAACGCAGTGCGCTGCCTAGCACTCCGTTCTCTAGGCTCTTGGGCCCTGTGCTTGCTGCTACTGAGGGGCAGGAGAATCAAATGAATGCTGCTTGCAGATGTCCCTTGGCATGGCGACCTTCGAGAGGGAGGCGGGCAGATGGGCCTTGCCTTGGGCCATCTGGTTCTTCCTCGGGCTGTCAGTTTGAGGAGGGGCGCCCACCAGCAGGTGGTGGGTTTGGGCCTTAGTGAAAATACCAGCGAGGGGACAAGGCCTTTTGCTGATGACGTGGGGTTGTGGGCAGGTAAAGCCCCACTCCCTTGTTCACCTCATTATGTGAGGCTCCGGGGCCCTTTCACCTCGATACCACCTTTCTGCTTTGAAAGGTCCCCAAAGCTGAGACGGAGCATTCAGTCTTCTGTAAGGAACCCACTTAGAGCTGGGATCTTGTTTTTTTGTTATAATGGTTTCAGACTGACTTCCTTCTGTCCTTTTCCCAACCCTCTTGTCTCTTTCCTCTCAAGGCTGAGTTCATCATGAACTAATTAGGTGAAACAAAAAACTCATTAACATGGATCTGAGTCAATGGCCTGAATCACCCTTGTGGCTGGGGACTTGGGGATGGCGTTTGTATGAGCCAGGAGCCCCAAAGAGGGGGAAAGAACCAATTTTTTTTCTTCTAGGTGAAGGGGGTGGGAGAAATGTCATTCCCTGCAGCTTTACTGTCCCTTGGAGGAAACAAGAAAAGTTCCAGATCAACTCTGAGATAAGCCCCCAGTCCCTTTTGGAGTGTGATGGGACTTAGTGGGGCAGCCACAGAAGGGGTGAGGGAAGAACCATCTGCTCCAGAGCCCTTCCTTGAGCAGGGAGGGGCAGGGAATCAGCCCAGTTCTGGTTCTAACTCCAGCTTAGTTAGCGGGACCCACCCCCAGTTTAGGAGCTCTCTGGTTGGACATCTGCTGTGATGTGAGGGCCATGGTTCCTGGGACACATTCGGGATCTTCACTGCCATCTTAAGTGCTATATGACAGGCAGAATTTCCCATTTTGGAGCCCCCCCACCATGGCCAACTTCCCCACTGCGGTTTGGAAATACCCCGTTGTTCCACCTTCCCAACTGAAAGCTTGGTATTACCGCCGCGAAATCCTGGGACCCGATGTCTCCTTGTCACCAGACCTAGCTGCTGCACACACATCCATTCTGTCTCCCTCTCACCATCCTGGTACCCTGCTCTTTCTTGGCAGGCCTTCCACTTCTTTTCTCCTCCCGTTTTTCCCCAGCCTCTATCCTGGAACTCATCCTTGTTGCCCACCTCACCCCAGCTCTTCTGCTGTAGGCAGGCTTTAAAAAACTCTTTCTCCAGTCTCTGCCCTGGATCCTTCCTGCAGTAGAGCCTCTTTCCATCTGCCAAACCATATTGCTTCGGTCTTGCAAAGCAGCATCCCTACCTTTCTCCAAAGAGAGAGAGGGGCTGTGCAAGCAGGGCGTTTCCCTTGCTGACGCTGAGCCTGGATGGAGCCCCTCCTGCCAGACAGAGGGGCCCTGGGTGGAGGTTGTTACGTAAATGTGTATGTTGCCTTGGATGCTAGTCCGTGTGTTTACTAGAGTGTGAGCTTGGTAGTGGGTAGGATTGACATTGTCAGAGTGTATGATAAAGCCTCCTTCTCACTCTGGTTAAAATTTTGTTCAACGATTTCTTTGTCTCAGCCCTGAAGGAGACCTGGGTGGTGTAGTTAGAGAATCTATTTGGGAGTGAAGAAAATGGGCACTTAGCCCGACTGTCCCCTCTGTCTCTGTGACCATTCAGTCGTCCCTGACGCCCCTGTCCAGAGCTCTGACCCTGAGGAGGATGCAGAGAAGCACCTGACTTTATTTCAAGGCAGGAGTTAAGGGGAGGCAGGCCATTTTGAAAAGTTCCTTTCCCATAGAAGTCCAAGGGGAGAGAAGACTTGTCCACTTGGTTTTTGGGGAATGAAAGAAGCACACCCAAGAGCTGAGGACTGAGGGATAGATGGCCCACTATATGTGCAGCCTCAGAGCTGGAAGGGGCTTTAAGGAGCCACCCTTCACTGGTGGGGAAACTGAGGCTCAGGGAAGGAGTGATCCCTGCAGCTATAGCCAGGGACAGTGTGGGGCCTTGGGCAGGGGTGTGGCACCCTCCCACCACCAGGTAGAGGAACTTTCCTGACTTGCTGTGTCTCCTGACTCTGGCCTAGAAAGTGACACAGAGGAGCCAGGGCCCAGTCCACATGGGAGGACACTTTAGGTATATTGCAGAGGGGGTGTTGGGCCCAATAAGCTAGCAGCCTGGAGAAGCTGGTGGGAAAAACCACTCTCCAGAGTATAGCATGTGGCCTGCACCTGGGGAAGGTGGGCTTCACCTGCCTGCAGGGAGAGCCTGGGAGGCTGGGCCTAGAGTTTCCCCAAGAGTGCCAGCCAGGGGCTGAGGTTGAGGTGGATGGGACTATGCATGTGCACCATGTGGTCCCCATTGTGAGAGCAGGGACCCGGGCTGTCGCTGTCAGCTGGGTGACATTGTCATGTTTCTCTTTTGGTTTCACCTGCTTTCTTTGTTTTAACAGTAGAGTTCCTCTTTTGCTCACTCATGCACTTAAACTCTTGCAGCTAATAGTTTTGCATGTCTCCTGCGGGCTCTGGCCTGGTATTGGCAACCTTCTAAAGAGACTAATGTAAAAAGATGTTTGTTTTTCCCTGCTTGGTTCCAATCTAGACTGGGGCTGGGGCCAGGCCCATTGGGGCGAGCTCTGAGGGTCCCGAACCCCCCATCCAGACCCTCATCTGTCCTGCTTCCTTCTCTGCGGGCCTCCTTCAGGCCTGCATGGGGTTCTGGAGTTTGTCCGGTGTTTCGTATTTGTCCTGTGACTTGATCCTGATGACAGCCCTGTGATGGAGAAAGGACAAAAATAATCATATCCATTTTAGACAGGGAAGCTCTCTGAGCTGATTTGCACTTCTTTCTGTTCCTTGGGTGAGGATTCCCCAACTGGGCTATTTATCACACTGTCACACTCCCAGAGGGACTTGCAAAAATATGCATTCCTGAGGCTCCCTCTCAGTAGGCCGGGATGGAGGCCGAGGGATCTGCGTTTGTCACTTTTCCAGGTGATTCTGGTAATTAGCTGGTTGACGGACTGAGTGCCTGGCAGGGTTTGCTTATTTAGGACATTGCACACAGGGCTCTAGGAATTCTGAAAAAGAGCCTATCCATGAGGGTGCTAGTAGCCAGGGAAAGCTGCATTTGTTCCAGATACATCTTTTTAGCTCCTACTGTGTGGCCCAGTTGCATCTAGCACAGTTTAAGATGGGAAGGAAGAACAAAAGGGGAGGGAGGAAAGAAAAGGAGCTGTGCTCTGACTCTGGACCCCAAGGTCTAAGCTGGGCACTGTCCCCCCAGGCATGGCACGTGGGAGGAATGGATCAGCCTGTAGGAGGCACCAGAGGGTGGATTGGGGAGTGGGGGGAATAAAGCCTGGAATTTAAGGAAACCAGGGGAAAAGTTAGCAATTTGGTAAGACTTGTCAAGACCCCTGTCCTCGAGGTCAGAGGAGAGGAATGGGAAGGCGCACCCAGCATGACCTGAGACTGCATGACCTCATGTGTCAGTAAGACGGAAAGCCTCCCCCCCGCCCCTGCTATTCAAGCTCATTTACTGAGCCAGCTCTCTGCCTGCGGAAGATACCACGTGAATAAAACTGTCTTTGTTCTTAAGTAATACCTGCCCAGTTTGCACCACTTGTTTTTCTATAGCATTTCTTTCTTAAATCAAATGTATGTGCCAGTGTGGGTGCCAGGGAGGCTCTCCGTGCAGAGGGAGCAGCCTGCAAAGGCAGCTGAGGTGGGAAAGTCCAGGGTGGTGTTCAAGGAACAGCAGTGGGTCTTGGTGGCTGGAGCATCAAGTCCATTCATAGGTGACAGGCAATGTGGCAGGCAGGGCCTTGGATTAAGGGTTTTTTATGCTTCGTCCTCTATTTATCTACAGCTTTCCATGTTCCACAAAACAGCTTGAGCTAGTACTTCATCCTGTAGGAGATGGGTGTCAGGGGGGGTCTGAGCAGGAGAGAGGCTGCAGGGTGCGCTTGAGCGTGGTGCTCTGGTGGCAGTGCGCAGGGTGATTTGGAGGAGACCAGGTTGAAGGCGTGAGGAATAGCCCAGAGGGGAAACACCAAAGGCTGACTTTAGGCCAGGAGGGGCAGGCAGGTTGGTGAGCTCTTGGTGTCCACACTGTTCATTTGTACTTCTGAGCCATCTGCCAGCTGTCAGTGATCTCCAGCCTCAGAAGTAGAGAGGGAGAAGGTGCCCTTTTTGGAAAGCAGGAAAGGCTTAGGG